CGTTATTTTTAATAGTTTTGTGTAGTTTGCTGTACGTAAGTAAAACATCGAGGATTTCGTATTTCGATACAATTGGATAGAGCATCAACTACTCTATCGAACTATACGGTTTCGAATTTATTTCCTTTGGTTGTACTCCAAAAATTAATAAGTTACAAAAAGGAGTCAAAAAAAAAGTTTTGCAAAAAGACCACATTTTGTAGTTTGTTTTTACATCATCTAATAGGTTTTATTAAAAAACAAACTGTACCAGAAGATGCGCCGTGAAAAGCTCTACAATTTACATAAGACCGCTTTACTCTTTTTTTGTTTTCAAACGGATAAAATTCCAATTTCTCCGTTGAAAAAAATCAATTTTTTCACACTAACAAGAGATTTCTTTTTACGATTTAATATTTTTACTACATAATATGTCTTCATAAAAAAGTTAAATGCACTAAAAGAAGCAGCGTGAAAAGCTCTACAAATTACACAGTAAAGCTTATTGTAATTGCTTTAAAAAAGAGTTAAAAAATGCTGTGAGACCAATACTCGCACGGTTGACGTTTGATCGGTCAGACCTTTGTCCATTTTGAAAACAAAAAGAGTAGAAATAAAACAAGCGGTTTTATGTAAATTGTAGAGCTTTTCACAGCGCATCTTCTAGTATATTTTGTTTTTGATAAAACCTATTAGATGATGTAAAAGCAAACTACAAAATATGGACATTTATTCTGTTCCAACTATTTTTGCAAAAATTTTTTTTCACTCCTTTTTGTAACTTATTAATTTTTGGAGTACAATGAAAGGAAACAAAATCGAAACCGTATGGTTCGATAGAGTAGTTGATGCTCTATCCAACTGTATCGAAATACGAAATCCCCGATGTTTTACTTACGTACAGCAAACTACACAAAACTATTAAAAATAACGTAATCAACCTGTATAGTATATGTCTCTTTCATTAGTACGTAGATTAACCCTTAAAAGCCGAAGTGGCTTCCGCTTATAAAAATGAGAATCTAATTAGAAAAACAGAGATTATGGACCCTCAGTATACTCGTACTACAGTTAAAAATAATTACCTTCTTCTAATTCTGGACCTACACAACCTCCTTTGGCAGGAATATCCATCCCTGTGAAAATTCGAAAAAATAGGAATTTCGATCTGAAACTTTGCCTTTAGATAGTTTTGATAATGCTTAATATGCTCCGAAATTTTCACTTAGAACGGATGCTTTCTTGCTGAGATATTCGAAATCCAAAAACCAGCTAAATTTTGCTAAAAATTGCTAAAAACTTCAATATTCTGTATCTTGCGAAAGAAACAACAGTTGTTCCTGAAAATTTTGAAACTTCCTAAACTCTACTAGGGCTATGTATGAGCCAAGTTTCGTGTTAGAAATACATTGTTTTGATTCTTCTATGAGGCTGAATGTCTTACCAAAGGAATTTTTTATTGATCACGGCACAATCTGTCAGTAGATCGGCTAAAAGATTCTAGAACGCTGACATTGAATAGCTTGGTGATAGGCTTAAGAGTGTAACATAAAATAAACTACACTGTATGTCGCATCTCCGAATAGATACAACTTTAGGGAAGAAAGGTGTTATTAAAAAAAGTCATCAGACCAAAACGGTGTTTTGCTACACCTGACAGCCATCTGAATACTACATTTTGGTCTAGGTATGGCCTCGAAAATCATATCAATCCAGAAAAATATTGGTTTTTGTCTACAACATTTTTATAAGACTTTGATTACAATTATTTAAATCTCCCTTCCAAGGGACATTCGGCTCTTAAGGGTTAACGGTATATACATTTTTTAATGAATTTGGCTTTGACTATCTCAATGAAAGATATAATAATTCTGACTCATATATTCATTATGTTATACGTATTTCTTACATCTTTTCTATAGAAAAGAATAATTGATCTTATGTGGGACACATTTCTCGATGTTCAAACACTGACGATCAACATGTACTTTTTTTTTACACAAAATGAGTTGAATCAATTAGTTTGATGTAAATATAGTTTTATAATAATTGAAGATTACAATATACAAGTAGATTATTTTGTTTGTGATATACTTATAGTATATTTCTCATAGAAAATGAATATATTTTCCAAAATGAATAAATTAGCAACAACTATGAAATATTGCGAATGTACATTGAATAAATATTCTGAAACTAGTCAAAACAATTTCAATTCAACATTATACTGACAATCTTTATTATGATGGTATTAAGGGTATGATGGAAAAAGGCAGAAAGGAAAAATATCGAAAGGGAAAAATGTCGAAAATAAAAATATCGAAAACAAAAATAATACAAATGTAGATGGATAGAAATGCTGAAAACGAGAGTATATTGAAGTGCAAGTCTCCCTCACCCTCAATTCAATTTTACATGCTCATTTTCATCTCATATTCTTGTTTTCGACATTTTTATTTTCGATATTTTTCCCTTTCGACATTTTTCCTTTCTGCCTTTTTCCATCCATTCGTATTAAGAATGCTATAGTTTTTTTTATTTTACAATAAAACATGTCCTTCAGACCATTTTTCACGGCGATATTTCTTTTTTTTTTGTTTTTGTTACGTCTAACTATACAATCATTCGAGATCATGAGTATTTGACATATGAAAATCATTTTTATTAAATTCATGTAGAATTATTCTATAAATAGTTATTTAAAATGAAAAGTATTATCGATAAATTTTATATGTCAGAAGAAACTAGTGCTAATTATTTTCAGTTCTTTTCCTTTGTGAAATCGAATCTACTTTTTATTCGTATATTGATAAATACTTATTAGAAAATAGATTGATTTACATGAAATAAAGACTATTACATAATTGCATTGTCGTCTGAGATAATATTTATAGAAATATCATGACATTTGTTGATCTCTATAGAGATGGTTCTATTCAATTTTCAAATTTAATTGAAAATTGTTCAAAGTTCTCTGCATATTGTTTTATTTTTCTTTTGTTAAAAATAGGTTTTCAATAACAAAAATAAATTTTATGTTTTAAGATAAGTCAGTGAACATCGTAATTAGTATACTCAAATGATGATAACATACAATACAATAGTCATTCACGCTCTGGTGTCTTTTTTGTTTTTGATTTGTTTTTACAAAAAAGAAATTATTTTCCTAACTCATTTCCCTACTATGAATGAATGCTTCATTTTTAGGAGGAAGATAAAGTTTTATTTTTGTCTTTGCTCATAAAACTTTTCGAAATCTCAAGAATATAAAATATACAGTCGCATGGGGTAATTCGGATCAAAATTTTAAAAATTCATTT